TGCATAAAATCTAACTATAATATCATTGTTAATGCACCTCACATGGTTTTGATTAATTAGTATATGGAAAACCCCAATGTTAGATGTGTAAAAAGTTACTGTATTGTTCAATCACAAGAAATTATCTTATAGTACTAAAATACGTTATCACCCAACTTCTCTTTAACGAGTTTTTCTGAAAATTCCCATAATTGTTTTGCCAATTCTTTATCTTTAGCTTGAGCAGTAGGTTCTCCTAATTCACCAAATGGGACAAAATATTTTGCTCGAAGATTTTTTTCTTCGACTTCAGGACTTGTAGCACAATAAAGTTGTGTTAACGCGCCATCTTCAGGTGATATCATAAATAATGTTCCTATATAGAGGAATGGTTTTATCCAAGAACCATAAGAAGAAACAAGACCATTCCATAAATCTGTCTTGATGACGCCTTGTTTAATTTATGCGCATGCAATTATTAATATTAAAAATAATAATCAAAATAATTTGCTATATCAATTTGAATAATATTTTTTTATTTACCTGGATGGAGACTATTACAATAAACGTTTGATCCCAAAAGTCTTTCATTAAGTTCAGTGGTAAATAAAATATTTGCGAGTTTCGACTGACCATATCTTAGAGTAGTACTGTGAGCATTCGGATCATTCAATTTGTCAAATTCTATTCCCGCTGGTGGAGTACTTCTGTGAGCGATACTATATAGTAAAAAGACAATAAATATGATATAATTTAAACATCTTGATATGTAAATAGTTATACTAACCTGCTAACATTGACAATACGTGATGGTGCTGAAGCTTTTATAGTAGGTAGTAGTAAGATTGTGAAGAGCTATTTTGTAATTTATAAAATGGTTGTTATAATAACATCTTTAAAGACAACGTTTTTAATCAAAGATCTTATATTTACAAAATGGCCAATATGATTAACGCCAAACTGGTCTTGAATACCATCTTGAGTTGTTTCAAATGGGCTTTTTTAAAATAAGGATTTAAAATTAGAATGATATTCACACTATATACTATATTAGCTACACATAAACTTACGTTGTCATAATACCAGCATTATTAACTCTAAGTGAATAAATTAGAATTTTTTTTAAATTAAATGATTGTTCCATATGAAACATTTTTATCTCAAACGTTTTTCATTAAAAACTCACAAAATATGTAATGGTAAATTTCTAGCCAAGAATGTTTCAGCAGCTTTTTTAACAGAACTTAAACTTTTTAGGTCCAATTGCAAAAATTCGACAGTATCTTTTTTTGTTTCTTTTTTTATTAATTCTATTGCTGTTTCGGTTTTTTCTTTACTACGGCTTGCAATGAATACATGAGCATTTTTACGGACCAATTCTCTAACAGTTATGAATCCTATACCATTATTTCCTCCAGTTACTATTACAACCTAGATTATTGATGATTTTACGACAAATTAAAGTAAACCATTTTTATGAACTTTAAAAATTAATCACTTTTAAAATTACCTTGCCGGAAAGATCTGGAATATCTTCAAAAGTAAATCGTTTTTTATTAAACATTTTTTATTAGAGAAATTTTTGAATTAAGATGAAAAAATAATATATTTATATATTTGAATATTTGTTTTGAGTTGATTTGAATGGGAAAGGCTGTGCTGTGAATACCTGTTTTTATATCATTTGAAATTCTTTTAATTGTTACTTTTGGAGATCTTCATGATGCGTAATATGCAGTTAATAATTATTAGCAATGATCAAATTATTAGTGGTCAATAACATTAATAATCAGTAATTTTTTATTATTAATAACTAAAAATTCGAAAATCCCATCATTATGCATATCTAATACCCGAACTAATTTTTTAAACCAGTTGAATTACGCCAGTTGAATTACGCCAGTTGAATTACGCCAGTTGAATTATGGTAGATCATACCCGATTTGTGGCATTGTAACGGTAACCTGGGTACTTCAAAAAAGATGAGCACAAAATTGTAATCTTAGATCGCCCATACCATCCTACGAGCATATGAAAGTATGGGTCGACGATCCCGAGATTGATCTTCCGAAGACTTACCTTCACGTTCAAGCGTGTGAAGGCGATAGTGACCATAGTAATTCATACAAGTAGGGATGGGTTCAGTTACGACTTAGTCGCTTAGCCGGCGGCTATATCTGTAGTCGATGCTAATCGGTCAGAGCGGCTTAGTCGACCGAATAAAATCGTAACCACGCTAAATTTTTAATATAAATAATAATCATGGGCACTTTAAATTTTCCATTTTGGTGTGACGAATGCATGTGTGGCGAATAATGGCGTGATGAATAACACAGAAGAAATTTATATTTTTCAGCTTATCATTTCTAAATAGGTTTCTTATACATACAGTTATACATGGGTGCCGAAATTCAGAGGGATTTACGGCATTATGGCATGCCGATATTTTTTATATTTTCGGCATGCTA